TGTTTCCCTCACAGGAACCTGAAGCTGCAGTTCCGTCTGCCCTGGCTTTTGTTCAGCGGTGTCGATGCACCTGGAGGAAAGCCAGGGAGGCCTTGGTCCAAGTTGGCAGGTGAACCAAAGCAGCGTCCGACCAACACCAAACTCCTGCCCCCCATTACATTTGTGGTCAAAGAGTATGGCTCTCTACCAAGCACCTGCCTCTCAGAGTGCCTTCATGTAACCTGGCCCCCAGGTTCATTGGTCCATATCAAATTACCAAAGTCTTGTATCCGGTGGTGGTAAGGCTCAAGCTTCTCCCCAAGCTTGGTCGGGTACACCCTATTTTTCATGTATCTAGAGTTAAACCTGTGTTGTATTCCCCCCTTGTGCCTTCTGTCCCTTTTAAACTTAACAAAAACTCTCGAAAACCTCTACTGTCTGCTGTTTCTTTAATATGGTAATAAGGATGCAGCAAAGAATGTCTCTATAAATTAAAACTATTTTATTATTTTATGCAACACCCTTACATTCAAAAGGTGAAACATAAGGGTGATCATACGCAAAAAGACCCCATAAGGCTAGATGTTTTCTTTCCCTTATTTATTTATTTATTTGTTTGTTTAGCGCATTTACTCATGTGCGATCGGAAAACTGTGCCCGCCTCTCCTTTTACTCCGCCCCGAAGCCCCAGCTGGCCCTCTTTGGCCCAAGGTATTCGGCAGGCCACAAAAGGCCAGCCGCTAGCCCCAAGAAAGCCCCGATTTGACAGTGGAAACGCGACTGGCCTTGGCTCGCCCTGGCTCACTCGCTTTAGGAACGATAGTGGAAACTATAGAGATGTTTCTCTCCTTCTGGCTGAGTTTGTAAGGCTTATGTAGCCTGTGGCTGATAAGATGCAGCTGGCACCTATCAACCAGAACAGTGGGTGTGTTGGTGTTCTTTGTTTTCCAGGGTGATTGATTACTTGCCACACTATTAATATTGAAAAAACATTAGTTCACACAAATTTTTTAATTATTTGTGAAAACGTCTGAAGGTCATGTGATCTTTAGGAAGAATGCAGCATCTCATATTATGTCGCATATTATGTTCTTTGTTTTCCGAGTTTGTTCTTTCAAAGTAACTTAACAAGACTAATCACAAGAGTGTGAGTCCATTCTCCTGACTTGGTAATATATATATATATATATATATATATATATATATATATATATATATATATATATATATAGATAGATAGATAGATAGATAGATAGATAGATAGATAGATAGATAGATAGATAGATAGATAGATATGGTGGCTTAATGGTAAAGAAGGTCACTGGTTCGAGTCCATGGAATTTGTGTTTGGAATTTGCATGTTCTTCTCGTGTTTGTGTGGGTTTCCTCCAGGTGCTCCAGTTTCCCCCACAGTCCAAAGACATGGATCCTAGGGGTGTGACAACATCTTGTATGATGAGATCTCGTGAGATTAAATCATGACAAGATTTCTTGACTAGGTGAAGAGTGTCTTGTGAGTTGTGACATTATGAGCGTTAGGGTGAAATTAGCATTGAAGGTTAAAGATAGGATTGTATTTGAACTGCATATCAAATGCTTTGCACACACCTGGCATACCAGGCTGGCCTGGAAGTTGTATGTGGCACTCAGTTGCTTGGACGAGTGTGACATAACATTTTCTTTTAACTTAAGTTTAATGGCTGCCTCATCCAATAGAGCCAAGTCGTAAACACAACTGGAATTAAGACACGTGGAGTATTCATATTTTAGTCATATTATTGAAGTGCAGCACAGACATGTAAACACATTTTGCGACTGGATAAGCCATAAATACATGCCTGTTTGACACTATTCTCTGCACCTACTGAGTCAGTATAATACCACTGATACGCACACACACACACACACACACACACACACACACACACACACACACACACACACTGAACTCCTGTAGACTTGAGACACCTTTATCATCACCAAACACAAGGTTATGCTGTTCGGGAAAAGAAAAAAAGCTTATTTTATTCGTGTGCTGTATCAAACTACATTAAAACAACTGTCTCATATCAGTTCTTACCTCATATTCACATCCAGTAGCTCAGAGTGAGTCACAGGGGCATGATTGAAATGTTGCTGAATGGAAGTGAAACTAAAAATTACATACAAAAATGACATGTTTTTTTTTTTTCAAGTTTAATTTGTGGAAAGGATTTAGATTTCTCATGTGAAATTGTACAGGGGAGAAGCCAGTCAGTAGAGTTTATAGCTAAATATTTTGCAGTGTTTGCATGTCCTTTATGGCATAGAATTTAATATAATGGAAAAAAAACGTTCATTAAATTTTTTTAAAAAGTACCTACATTGTTTTGCAGTTTGTGAGTTTTTCTTTTCAGAAAAAAAATATTTTTTATATTTTAGCAAATTGTTTGCTAATATTTAAAATCATATATATATATATATATATATATATATATATATATATATATATAAATAATTTCCATTCACACAGGCTATTTGCAAAATATTTTGCAGTGCTTGCTATGGAGTAAAATAACACTTATTACACATTTAATTAAAAAGCACCTAAACCTAAATAGTTTTGCAATTTGTGATTTTTTTTTTTTAGTTGAATAAAAGACTATTTTCCATTTATATATTTCATCACTGAAGATTTCTTAAAAATAGTGTAAAAATCTAGCGTCTCGTCTCATGGAGTAATCATCTCGTCACACCCATAGTAAAAACATTAACTAACTAACTCAAACTAGTACATTATTGTACACCATATTTTTATGTACAGTTAAAGCATGTTGTATTCTTTTCATTCAAAGTGTGTGCAGCACACTACTGAGAATATTGAGTTGGTTATTAAATTAAATTGCAAATTAAATCGAAATGGCGATTTAAGTCAGAAGATCTGGAAACATTTTATGTTGACTAGTATGCAGATGCTGGGTTTATGTTGTATCTAAGTCTGTTCTATTCTGTTCTAACATACTATGTTTGTTTGTGTGTTTAGCAAACTGAAGAGTGTGATGGTGTTATAGCTCAACTGGAGGAGAGGCTGGGCTCTATGACATCCAGACTTCAAGACAAACAAATGCATCTCAATAACATACAGAATACCGAAGCATTTCTCTCCCAGGATCTCCGCAGACTACAAGAAATTAAAGAGAGAGTGAGTGCATCCACCAACAGCATAAATCACACACTTGCATACTGGACACTATGATACTCCAACATAGGAGCTCTCCATTTTACAAAATTATCGATATCATTGTTAAATAAATTCATTCTATTCCACACTAATGTCACATCACAGCAGCAAGTGTTTACATTCATGCTTACAAAATAGCTTTACATAGACATATTTTTTATAAGATTCAAAGAATAACAAATGCAAGAAAAAAGGCAGCAATTGTTGAATTACAATACAAATACTTGTGTAAGAGAACATTTATGGGCAGGGTCCTTTTGGAATTAAGATGTAGGTCCTAAACAATCTTATGTTTAACTAATGTTTTGTAACTATCTGATGTTTAAGTCTGTCACCCATGATTCTGTGGTCACTTCTGCAGAATTTGTATCGTCTGCCCGTGCTGCAGACTCGGGCCAAACACCTGCATGCTGTTAAGGAGGGACGGTACACACCAATGGCAACTGGAGTCACAGCATTGGAGCTGGGTACACACAAACAAGAAGAGCGATTGAAAATGGTCAGTGTAAAATCCACAGACAATGTTTTGATAAAGAAAATCAGGCAGACCATAATAATGCAGAGAATATAATAATAGAAAGAAAGATTGAACATTCCACATCATACGTTATATGATTTTACATGCAACATCAGATCTACATGCAGTTTTTGCTTTGGTTAAAGAGCATTTGGTTTGGTTAAAGAGCATCTTTACGAAGGCAATAGCTTCTAAATTAACCCTCAAACAAAACCATAATGTAATCTAAATTACAATAAATTTGAATCTCACAACTAACTTAAAAAGCACCAAATTAACTTTTGGAACCTTTTTTTCTTTAATATTATACTGTTAAATCAGGATATAAATCCCAGTCATTTTTTAGGCTGACCTCTTGGTGACGTAGCACTGTGAGTTTCCCCACCCACTGACTACTGACATGAATGTATTATCATGTCTCAGTATTATTGCATATTATCATGTCAACAAGACAGGATTTGCTAAGAAATACAATTTTCATTGACTAAACTAGACTAAATGTCATCAGTTTTTGTAGACAAAAAATAAAATAGTATGATTCTGACTAAAATGATCAGACTTTTAGTCAACTAAAACCTGACTAGACTAAAAATAGCATGAACATGACTAAAACTAATAAACACTAAAATGTCAGCTTCACAAAAAACAAGCCACCGAAAAACAACACTACATCTGAGACCTCCACTACTTCCCACCAGTCCAAAGTCATCGCTTGCTTGTCTTCCACCCTTACCACCATCTATGACTACAGATGCAGATTTAGTAAACAAATACAACAAACACGAATGTAGACAATAATCACTGACTAATGATGCTAATTAAATTCTGCACTTTTATTTTAGGTTAGCCTTACCCTCCAGCGTTTGGCTCAAGAATACCCTCAGCACCACAGCACACTCCACAGGATGAACAGCATACTGGCAGAACACCTCCATGGTGAATGTCCAAACAGCCAGTGAGCACAGAAATACATAATACCTAAAATAAAACGCATAAATAAAAATACAACATTTGACATAAGAGGAATATATATATAGGTATAAATAGGTATAGGTATTTAATTATAAAAAAAAAAAAGTCCTACAGAATTTTCTCATTTACAGCTACAGCATGAAAGAGTAGAGTCTTATTTCAGTCCTACACCAACTCTTCAATCAGGTCTCAGCAGTGACTACCTAGTACTAGTGTATTTATTGAAGCTTTATGTATATTGTGATTACAAGTGTCAGATGATGCATTTAATAGATCGATCCATTGTGTTAGTCCAATTCAATTGTAATGATAATGTATATTAAAATTGATCATTAAAATAGCAGGCGGCCGCTTTAAAAAAATACATTTCTTGTCCATCTGTTTTTTATTTATTATTATTATTATTTTTTATTTTTTTTTTTTGATTTACCAATTGACAAGTGATGGTTAATTATAGTAAGGGTACCATGATGCAGTGGTTTTAAAAAGTTTTATATTTTGTTTACTGTAATGAATAGCAGTCAAAACATTTTCAGCTGAACTGAAAAGGGAATTTTTAAATAATTTTAGGAGGATTGATTTAATTTGTTCTCTTCAGCAAAGTTTCTTTTTTTTTCTTTCACTTATTGAGTCAATAACACTTTGGTTTATATTATAGCACCAGTACTGGATGGTGACCAGTTAGTGTTTTAGATTATTATTATGGAGTCAGAAGGATCTCAATAATAAATTCATGCAAAAGAAACAATGTACACATGCACATTACATGCACAAAATGTTTATATATATTTACAGTTGAAGTCATAATTATTAGCCCCCATTTGAATTGTTTTTCTTTTTCAAATATTTTCCAAATTATGTTTAACAGAGCAAGAAATTTTTCACAGTATGTTTGATAATATTTTTTCTTCCAGAGAAAGTCTTATTTGTTCTATTTCAGCTAGAATAAAATCAGTTTTAATTTTTTTAAAAACCATTTTAAGGTCAAAATTATTAGCCTCTTTAAGCTATATTTTGTTTTGATAGTCTACAGAACAAACAGTCGTTATACAATACCTAATTACCATAACCTGCCTAGTTAACCTAGTTAGCACACGCTAATGCTTTTAATTTATAGCAGGTTATACTATCTGTAGCCTACTGTATATGACATGGGCCTGTTGGTTAGAACATTTCTGCAGTGGTTTGCATGTGTCAAATTGTAAAAGTAGACTTTTCAGGATTTTTTTTTAACAATATCCTACTTAATAATAATAATAATAATAATAATAATAATTGTCATCATCATTAATATTAATATAGCCTCATTATTTATGTATTTATGTATATGATTTATATATTATATTAGAATACGTGTTATCTTTTATTATATGAAGAGAAATGTTTAGAAAAGAAAATGTAATGTTCTCAATAATATTTGTAAAGGAAACACAAGCCCTATATGTTCCATTTACATATACTTCAATTAATATGGAAAGCGAGTGCATGTTTTTACCAAAACTAATATATTTTTTTTTTTAAATGTGTGTTTGTAAAACAATATGATTTGCACAAAGAAATTATGGGATTCTTCTCTAAAGAAGTTGTTACCACCCCGTTTAAAGCACCATTATGGGCGTATTGCTTTAGAACTAACGTGGTTCAAATGATTGATCTGTGACAGAGAAGCTTCAGGTTTTGGGAAACACTTGTCACTACATTGTTCTTTTCCCAAACAATGCATCGTACTATGAAAGTTTAGCTGCGAGTTACGTCGTTGTTTGGGAAACACACCCTTGTCTGGTGATTGAAATTGATATTGAGCATTCCCACCTTGAGGTTGCTTGAGTAACATTTATGGTGATATTCACCAAGAGCAAAGGAGTTTACATACTATTGGGAAAACTTTAAATATAAATTGAATAAGTACATTTAATTAAAAGATGATCAAGAAAAAAACTTTGTTCTCTGTCATTGTCGCTATTTATCTCCAATAAACGTTGGTCTGTGTAGGTACTCAGCATAGAGAATAGACCAATTACCAACCTACGTCACACATAACTTCACACGGGTCCCCGGTTGCAAAAAAGACTGGCTGCAACAGTAAAGATGTCGTGTTGTGCGGTAGGATGCCAAATTAGAAAGTCCAAAAATAGAAAACGTAACTTTGACCATACACCACACTGTTTTAATGCTAACTGCAGACGTCTTTGACTAAAAGGAAGCTGAATGAAGTGACGACCTAATTAGAAATGCTGGATAAGTTGGCGGTTCATTCCGCTGTGGCGACCCTGAATTAATAAAGGGACATGTTAAGGTGATGTAAAGGTTTATGTTAAGAGGAGAACAGCGGCGCACTGTCAAAGTGTGGACCTAACAGACGGGGGAATAGGGGATGCTGAACTAACACTCTGAGGAAAGAGTTGCCTCAATTGTGGGCGATACTTTACTGTCTAGGGTAGTATCCGTGTTTGTTGGAGACACAGATGTATTAGAGGGACACTTTGTTATGGTAGTATAGCAGCACCCCTCCGCTCTTATCAAGGCAGCGCTACCAGCATTTCTGCTGCCCGATCACCCGCTCTACAACTGACCGAGTGCCTGCCACCTTGGAGCCTCATCCCAATCATACTGTTTGTGAGGATGAATTAATCATGGGTTGACCCAGGCCACCTTGCTACAATATTTGCACAATTATTATATTATTTGCACATTTATTGAATGGAAATGTTTCCCATTCACGTATGCAAATTTGTCTTGATAATAGATGATAATAAACTGAATAAACTGATTCATTTATTTATTTTTTTATTAGCTGATTATTATGTTTATACAGTGGGTACGGAATGTACTCAGACCCTCTTAAATGTTTCACTTTTTGTTATGTTGTTATACAGCCATTTGTTTTAAGTTCATTTTTTCCTTATTAATGAACGAACAGCACTCCATAATTACTGACAGCAGACTGAAAACACTCAATTGTTAACATTTTTGGAGATTTATTAAAAAAGAAGAACTGAAATATCACATATTCAGACCCTTTGCTGTGACAACCATATATATTTAACTGAGGTGCTGTCCATTTCTTATAATCATCCTTGATCCTTTATTTGAGTCCAGCTGTGTTTAAATATACTGACTGGACTTGATTAGGAAAGCCACACACCTAAGGGCACAGTAGGCTTCATAATCCTTAAAAGCCATGGAGTTTGCTAAAATGGTGAGAAATAAGATTCTCTGATATTTTTTTTTTTACTCTAAGTGCTATGTGTGGAGAAAATCAGGCACTGCTCATCACCTGTCCAATACAGTGCCAACAGTGAAGCATATATACAGTTGAAGTCAGAATTATTAGCCCCCTGTTTATTTTTTCCCTAATTTCTGTTTAACAGAGAGAATATTTTTTTCAACACAAGTTATTATATTACAATGGTTTTGTTCTGTAGACTATCAGAAAAATATAGCTTAAAATGACTAATAACTTTGTTCTTAAAATTGTGTTTAAAAAAATTAAAACTGCTTTTATTCTGCCCAAAATAAAACAAATAAAACTTTATCTTGAAGAAAAAAATATTATTAGACATACTGTGGAAATTTCCTTGAGACATCATTTAGTAAATATAAAAAAATAAAATAAAAAGGGGGCTAATAATTCTGACTTCAACTGTATGTACTGTACACACGCACACACACACGCACACACGCACACACACACACACACACACATATATATATATATATATATATATATATATATATATATATATATATATATATATATATATATATATATATATATATATTCATTCATTCATTCATTTTCTTGTCAGCTTAGTCCCTTTATTAATCTGGGGTCGCCACGGCAGAATGAACCACCAACTTATCCAGCAAGTTCCAGCGGATGCCCTTCAAGCCGCAACCCATCTCTGTTAAACATCCACACACATTCACACACACACTCATACATTACGGACAATTTAGCTCAATCTATTCACCTGTACCACATGTCTTTGGACTGTGGGGGAAACCGGAGCACCCGGAGGAAACCCATGCAAATGCAGGGAGAACATGCAAACTCCACACAGAAGCACTAACTGAGCCGAGGGTCGAACCAGCAACCCAGCGACCTTCTTGCTGTGTGGTTACAGCACTTCCTACAGCGCCACTCCTTCGCATATATACATATATTCAAAATTAGTGCGATTAATTTAAAATAATTAACGTGTTAAAAAATTTTACGCAATTAACGCAGTTGCAGGGTTTTTTTTACATCCTGTTGTGGTGGACGTGTTTTCAACATGCAAAGAAATATGGATAAGACCAAGGATGAAAATTTTGAAGGCAAGTTTCAGTATAAAACAATGTCGCATCATTTCATGCAATTTCGGGAGTTTCATTTTTAATTTTCGACTTCTGTTTTAATGTAATTTGATACCGCATGGCAAACGGAAAGAAAAACCTCTGCATTTCTTGACTCTGTATTTTTTGAGGTAATCAAATTGCGGCTTACACGGTAGACTCTTAATAAGAGTATTATCTTAATAATATTAAAATTAGAATATAGGTGTCTCATGTAAATGTACTCAGAAAGTCTCTGGTGAAGTCGCGAGCTGTCAAAGACAGCACATTACTCTGCCTTTCAGCATGAGCCCTCCAATGTTTTATTAAGTTTAACGTGTTTCCTCATTAAACGCAACGATAGCGTATGCTTCGCGTTGTTGTGTCAGAATCCTTGTGAAATATAGCCATACTTAAAAACCCTTAGTTTGAACAAATTTGATAAACGCGATTATGCGTTTTGAATCTGAAGGGAGTTGCTCTAGCACGTTGTGTGTCTGTCTGTGTCAGGCCCGTTGAGTAGTGTCAGGGGTTGAGTGAGCGACGTATCTGAGTAGGGGCGTGTGCACGCGAGATGTACCTGTAGAGCGGTGGGGATGAGATGCAAGCAACATACCTGAAGAGCTAGGAGAGCGGTGGAGAGGGGTGTGCAACGTTTTTAAGGACCGGGCGGGAGACGCGAGATTTACGGGAGATTATCATTAATTTGTGGGCATCCGGAAGTCTCTGTGCATTTGCGGGATACTCCTAGTCTTAGCAACTGGATGAATGTAAAGGAGCAAAATTGTTTCTACTTTATAATTAATGTTCTCAACTCACAGCAATACAACTTTAAAATGAGTGCAACTGTTTGTATTCAATACTTTATTATTATTATTATTATTATTATTATTATAACTTTCCAATTTCCATATCCGCAACGCCTGTATTTTGGCATTGTCTTATTGTCTTTTGGCATAACGTCTTTATTGGCATTGATTGTTTTGAAATTCAAATGGCACTTACATGCCTGTTTTAATTTCTGTAATAAATATGCTTGTCACGCAA